CGCGACCTAAAGTGTGTTTTGGATTTTGGCCCCCTGTGCAATTGAGTTTGACACCCCTGATGTACAGCATCCCGTGAATAATCCAGTATTTTTAATGAACTGTAAAAATAATAGACCTAATTGCTTAGTTGTTTGTTTAACATATTCTCTGTCCTCATTTCCCAGGCTTGGAGTATGGGACTGTACTCAGTCTCCATACTAATTTTTGTTACTTGTACCAATTAGCTACTAAGCAACATTTAGTAAAACCTACTGTTGTCCTTATTTTATCACAAACAGTTATCACTGAATATTATCAGTTGAGGACATTCATAATAACATACTAAACAGGGACTAAGAAAATGGCAAAATGAGTCATACCAGGCTAAAAACATGATGAAATGCAGGATATGTCAAAAGGTGGTATCTTTTTTCTCTGACGACATTGTCTAATGTAGCTTGCAATGTGATCCTCTGGATTATTGAGAGTTTCCATATCAGCAGCAGAATTTGGAAGCTCGGACTTCATTTTATTCTAAATATCATCATGAGAAACTGTGAATAAGTATTACGTTTTCAATAAGAGTCACTGTGGAAACCTGCCAAGCAAATAATATAAATTCATTGGCTTTTGGGACATGATGCATGGTATAAATTTTGGTTTGTTTTAAAATTAATCTTCAAAATTTAATACTATTGCTATAGAAAGGTAAGACTGTATTTTGACTATAGTCATGATTTTATTTCCCCATAGTCTATGGAAGGTTCTATGCTCACCATCAGCTTTGGAAACTGGATGGAATTACCTGGATATGCATTTAAAGATTGGGCTGCAACTAAACGAAGGTGAGCATGGTAACATTTTTATAGTGATTGTTGTAGAAAGGAAGAGCTGATGCTTGGGTGTAGAGATCATGTTGTAGGTTTCCAGCTTGGTAGTGGAAAATGTTCAGATAGTAAAAAAACAAAATGTGTTATTTTACTGAAAATAAAACAGAATAACAAGTCCCCCCCCCTTTTTTTTTTTTGCTTAGGAATCCAATATTCAAGAGATAGTATAATCATATTTGGAGCTGAGAGATGTTTCTGTTGTGATTGTATACTTTAAATGTAACAATTAAATGCAAATAATTTCCTGATCTGATCTTCTTTCAGAAATATAAAGTGTGACAGAGTTCTGCCAGAGGAAGTTGCAAATTATTACAAGCACTATGTTAAAATCATGGGCTTACAGAAAAACTTCAGAGAAAATACTTATATAACATCAGTGTCAAAGTTTTATCGTGACCAGGACTGTGAAGGTGAAAGCCCTTTGCCAATGGAAGAACAGGGTGGGCAGACTACACCGATCAAGAGAAACTGGGAAATTAGAGGTTATCAGAGATCAGCAGATGGTTCTCATATGCCATTCTGTTTGTTTGCTGAGAATGTGGCTCTCGCCACTGGAACTTTTGATGCTCCTGGCCGACTACGAGTTGAAGGAGAAGACTTTCCTTTTGTGCTCCACACCCTATCTGATTTTGGAGCTGCCATAGATAAAGGAATATTACATGGAAAAACAGATCCAGTTTTAATTATAGGTGGTGGACTCACAGCAGCAGATGCAGTTCTGTGTGCTTATAATAACAGTGTACCTATTATTCATGCATTCCGTAGGAGGGTCACTGACCCAAGTTTAATTTTCAAACAGTTACCGAAAAAACTTTACCCAGAATACCATAAAGTCTACCATATGATGTGTACTCAGTCAGTTTCTCTGGATAACAATTTGCATCCTGCATATACCAGTTTCCCTGAACATCAAATACTTTCTTTTCAGCCCGATATGAAGTGTATCCTACAGAGTACTTCGGGATTAAAGAAGATCGTAAAATTCTCTTTAGCTGTAGTTTTAATAGGTTCTCATCCTAACTTATGTTTTTTAAAGGACCAAGGCCAGAGCATATGCCATAATCCAAATGAACCAATTACTTGCAAGGGCAACCCTATTGAAATTGATCCATATACATATGAGTGTATAAAGGAACCCAATCTTTTTGCACTTGGTCCACTGGTTGGAGACAATTTTGTACGCTTTTTAAAAGGAGGAGCACTGGGAATTACACGGCATTTAGTTGCAAAGCAGAAGAAACATCAATTTATAGTTGAAAGAGATGCAGATGGAGTCTCCTAAAGCAAATAGACATAGACATAATCTGAGGAGCTGCAGGCATATGCTAATAATTGATCCATTAATAACTAAGTGATAGTCTTGGTTTTGTTATACATACCAGTTTTTTGTGCTTGCATTGCCTCATAGAGGAAGATGCTACAACAGTATTGCAGCCTTGCAAAATGCAAAAAAAAAAGTTTTTCTGGAATTGCTTCCAATTAAGGCAACTGTAATGGATAACAATGCATGCCAATTTGCTTTGGTTTCAAAGCTTAGAAATATATATATATATATATATGTATGTATATATAGAAAAAGTTTTTACTCATAAGCTAACTGTTTTGCTATACAAAACTAGATGAGTATTTAAGAATAGAATTTTCTCCTTAACACAGTTTAAGGCAACTGTTCCGCCAGTTATTTGCAACAAAGATTTTATAAAGCCAACATGAGAAAGTTGCGTATTGTGAATCTCAAGGAGCTACAAATTAGAGATGTGCCTAATCTCTTACATCTGAATCAGAATTAGTGCTTGAGTCTGATGAAGGCACCAATCATTAATCAAATATATGCAGTACAATCCAGCTAAATCTGACATTTCACACAGAAGTCGTGCTCCAGAGAAGCATGTGTAGATGAGGTGAACTTGCCCATATTTTATTATAGTTTCCATTACAATATATCCACAGTTCTGAGGTAAAATAGCTTGTTAATTATGGGAGCTATTGCTATAGAAACCACAAGGGTAACTTGTGGTTCCCTTTGTATTTAATTTTTATGAATTATGCTTATTTTTTAGCATCCTAAACTTTGAATATGTACATTGGTTGCAATCCCCATGGACATCAAGATGCATGTATAGCAGATTATTTTCCTAGTCTTCCCTTCAATGTTTTGTCAGTCCTGCCTCCCCGCCCCACCTTAAACCTGGGATGCATACTATTAGGTAAGATGGGTGAAAAAAAGAGAACAACATGTAATTTACTGCTAATGTACTAAATATATGGAACTCGGATTGCTAACCAATTTCTATAAATATAAAAGTTGGCAAGAATGAAAGGCATTTACTTTTAATTTGCTTTTCCCTTATGTATATTATGGAGTATGTAACACAGTAATTCTGGATTAAATTGCGTGTGGGATTAAATGAATGTCCAACATTTAAAGTCTGCCTATTTTTAATTGGAGGGATGAACTTCAGGGTTGCCAATAATTTTAAAATAAAAGCATGGCATCAAAAGATCTGTCTCTTCCTTCTCTTACGTGGACTCTTTTAAACTCACCCTCTGGCTTCTGCACTTTGTCTCTATCAGTTTGAATCAGAACTGTTGTAAACTCAGGTTAGCAGCCTCAGAGGCACACAAGTTAAATTAATTGTAAGACAAAGAGGCAACTCTGCAATAAAGAGACTGCATCAAGGTTTACTAAGCTATTTTATTATTTTTAAAGAGGGCCCCTTCAAATCAGCAGTTGGCTTTTTAAATCAGGATCATTTAAATAGCAAATTAGGAGTAACAAACATTTTTCTAAAAGTAACCAAGTACCTACAAAAATTTAAGGAATATTATCTGCCCAAATCTATCTGGATAATTACTATGCACTTGCAGTTTTCTAAATATTATCTTTTCTAAATACTTTGTTAGTGCAGAAACTTTTAGTTTAGTAGAACTGTGTATCAATTTGGTTGGAAGCAACAACTGGATTTGAATGTGGTTGTGTTGCTTTGTTTGATTACCATTTACAATAAAGTACAAACCATTGTTCATACTCTGAGTATGAGGGGCCTCCCTGAATTACTGTTTTTTTGTTGTTGTTGGATTATTATGTAATGAACATAATCCAGAGTAGCATTTAACTCATCAAAGTGCTTGTTTGCAAACACTCTTCAACATTTTCATGCAATTTGACATGTAGGGAAAATATCCTTTTTAACACAATGCCCTCCCCCCCCCCCCAAGCTGGTGGGGGGAAATTCAGACTTTGAGTTTGGGTACTTTTAGTCTGTTATAGGGACAAAACAGGTGCCTTAATCCTTGCAGGTACCTAAGACACCTTTCATGCCTTTTAGTGTGCTACCCTCAACTTGCTACAAAAAGCTTGTGGAGTCAACCAAATCCAATATTCAATGGAAAGTATAGGAATTAATTTCCAATTCTCTTAGGTTGAGGTTATTTGTTATTGTAGTTTTATGCCCAGATAATTTGGAAAAAAGGTTCAGAGTTCATGCCATTATGGTATCTTGAAAAAGCCAGATAGAGTTCAGGGATGGGGAAGCCTTAAAACCAGCCATGCATGGGATCTAGGTTTATTTTTTAATACTCTTATAAGTAGCATTAAGATTAAGCACTTCAGAATCCAGTGGTACAATCCAGAAATCTCTATTCCTCTATTATGCTCAGTAAAGTCAGAAAAAGAACCACAGAATTTGTGGCTTTTTCCCCATAGGATTTGGCACTGTTGGAATAGAAATTAACTAGAAGTTAATTTTTAGTTATTAATTAGAAGTTTAGGACCTAAGTATCAAAATCAAGTACTGATAGGTGTTATACATTTATAATAGGTTTAGGGATCCATGAAATCAACCTGCGAGATGGCTGTATTATGTGTGATATTTTGGTGCATTCTCCAATGGTCTTATTTATATTGATGTTTAATTGTTTTTTATTGGTTTAAAACTTATATAGCTGCCCATTTCATGTTTTAATTTAAGACTTGTTTTAATTGTTTTGTTTTATTGTACACCGCCCAGAGTCACATTCATGAGATGGGCGGCTATATATATTTTATAAATAAATAAACCCTCTTCTTACAATCATACATAGTAGCAAATCAAAGAAAGAAATGTTACCCTGGAAATTTACATATTAGGGGCAGAATATAAGTAGACTTGATATCCCTGTAGAATTTACAATGTAATAATACTTGTAAAATGATTTCTATCTTGTCACCACATGGACATGGGAATGTATGCTCAGTTAATGGGATTTTGGAGTATCTGCCTTGCAGCAGTGCGGATGGTAAGATGTTATGTCTGGCTTTGAAAAATGCTGTCCTCATCTTGGGGAAAGTTAGATTTTATAGGTAGCTTGCTAGTTCCCAAGTGCCCTTATTAATCCAATTTCTGCCATGTTGGGGCAGCCTATTAACTTCAGTCTGAAACTCCATATCCCTTGAGTGAGCAGTTGTTGGCTTGGTGATATCCTGAAGAAATTAGGAATGGTACAGAAAGTCCATATAATGCCAACTTCTATTCTACAGCGTGTTTCCAGGAAGAAGGAAAATTGTCTATTAAAACTAGAGGGGTCAGTCCAACTGGGGAGAACTGGATTTTCAGCCAATAGTTTATCATTCTCCTCCAAGCCCTTACCTGGATTGCATTTTGGTGCTTCACAACCTTTCACAAAAATACACTCATAAAAAGAAATCCTCCCTCTTTGTGGCCTTTCTAGATTTTAAACATGCCTTTGACTCAATTTTGAGGAATGCCCTTTAGGAAAAATTAAAAAATACAACTATTGACAGGCATCTCCTCTTTCTGATTCAGAAATCATACTCCAACACCACCTTAAGAGTGAGGTGCAAGCCCCAGGGGTCCCTCTCTGGCACAGTAAATGTTCAGAAAGGAGCGTGACAGGGATGAATTCTTGCCCCTTCTCCTTTCAACTTGTACATCAATTCAATGGTGGACCTTCTTCATAATCCAGATTTCCACACATCTAAACTAGCAGGGCGCAAAATCCCTATACTCTTCTACGCTGATGCTGCTGCCATAATTTCCCAAACCTCTATAGAGCTGAAAAGAGCAATAGCAGCAATATTTTGGTACTGCAGACAAAATCGCCTGGTTCTTAATTTTGATAAATCCAAAATGCTGGTCTTTGCTAAGAGAGCCACCCAACAATCCTGGAGAGTAGAAGGGCACAGGTTAGAGCAAGTTACTCCATTTAAATACCTTGGGGTGGTTTGGAAACAGTGCAAACAAAATTTTTGAGATCAATCCTTGCTCCTCCCAAAGGAACAGCAAACGCCCGGTTAAGGGTTGAGACAGAAATGCCTGCAATCTAGGTAAGGGCCTGGAGGAGGAGGATAAACTGCTAGCAAATGAAATTTGCAAGAATCTGCAAAATGTCCCAGTATTGTTGGCATGATTTTAACCATTTGGATGTCATGTGAAGCTGTACATAGCTGAGGAAAAAATGCATACAGTGGCTTGCCTGATAGTGTGCGTAGCTGAAAGGCCACTCATGGTTTGCTTGGTTAATCAAGTTGAATTTGATGCGAATATAGAAATATATTTTGCCTGCCTAGCAGAAACCAGAAAACCAAGTTTTAGATTGTTAATGGCTTCCCACATTTGCACTCTCTGCAGTGCTAGTCAAAGTGTAAACATTTTAGTTACTTGCTCTTGCAGGCAGAACCAGGATATGCAAGCAGGCATGTCTACATTTAAAGCAACCTTACAGCTAAGCTTACCATGATGTGTGAACCCCCCATTTGTGTGTAATGTTAGTATTACGTTGTGGCTGACATGCCCGTTGTGCATTTCTGCTCAGGCAGAGCAGGACTTTATGATGTTGTAAAGGAAATGAAGATGTTAACATACAAGTATGGGCGGGGCGGGGGGAGAACATCTGCTTATTACAATGTCAGTTGTTTTGCAACACATTTAACAAATTGAAAGAGCTATCGCATGAGCTTCGTTAATCTCTTACATTGGAAGCCTTGAGTCCTGAATGTTGAGCATGCACTAATAATAAACTGTTTCCCCTTTTTAAGGTGTTTCCCTATAAAATTACATAACTGAAATTCATTAAGCTATTAATGATTTTTCAATACGAATTGAATACGATTTTGAAGAAATATTGAAACTAGACTTTTTTTTTTTACTTGCTGAACCTGGGCCAAGAATTTGTATGGTGATTTGACATAAATGAAAATTAAATTGATTTTAAAAACTGTTAATTGTATATAGTATTTTTGGAAAGATATGGCTTTGAAAAGTGATGTTCTTTATTCTAACTGCAGTTAATTCCTTAGAGGCAATCCTGATGCATTAATTTAAACTGCAATAATAAATGTTACATGTGTGTCTAGAGACTCAATTATGCCTGAAGGAGAAAATGACATCATTAAACTACACAGATCAGAGAACAGTGGAAAGAAAGGTTAGTTACTTTCCTCAAGCAATGATTATGTTACGCTATTATTTTTTTAACATAATTTTTTAAAATAAACTAATATACAGCGTGAAGTATTTGAAGAGTAGAGTATCCAGTTTGCTTGAGCTATAACAAGGTGGAATATCCCACTCTTTTATTAGTGGGTACAGTTCCTCTGATGTGGCTGGAGTTTTAGATTTGTGTAATAGATATCTAGAAAGACAAGAAAAGTCATTTTGTTCCATTGGACTGGGTCGATACCTGGAAATAATCATTCTGTTGATGACCAAAAGGCAAAAATGAGTTTTTGAGTAACGGGCCTCTATGTAGTAAAAAGTTGGAAATTAGCCTTCAAGTAATTTAGCCTTCAAGTAATAGAAGTTCACCTTTAACACAGAGGATGGTCTTTGAGGAAATAGATTACCCTGGTACAAACAGTTCTCACAGGAAACTGCTAGCTAAGGGCTGACCATCTGAAGGACTGGGCTCCTGAACTAGATCCAACTGGATAATGAAGGACAGGGGGAGAGGTCCTTGGCAAAAGATGAACTTTTGGCACCCTTGCTTAATTGCAGTAGTAAAATCTCCATCCAAAGGAGGAGAACTAATACTACAATGAGGTAAAAATTAATTAAATAAACACTTATTATGGGATGCTTAACTAACACACGTGTGTAATGATATGCAGATTGTTAACCAATTGTAGTGAACTTCTTTGTTAAGTGAATAAAGGGATGGTGCTTGATTCAGTCAGGGCCACTCAATCTGGATTTGAGTCTCAAGTGTACCTTTTCGCTCCTGTGCAGGAATAAAGTGTTTTTAGATTCCACTTTCAACTCTGTGTGAGTGATCAATCGTGCCAGGTGAAGGTGAACCTAGTGTTGGGCCAGGCCAAGAGTTTTCTAGTTGGGCTAGGGCAACTATGATTATGGGATAAGGTCAATTCCAATGTAAAAACATACATACACACACACACACACACACACATACTTCACAAAGCTTTTATTTAGATCAACTTATTACAAGACTTTCAACTATAATATAGGTAACGAAACTGAAGATGAATATGCTATGGGTAAAACCAAACTACTCTTTATGAAGTTAAAGAGATTAGTCATTTCACAAAAGAAGCTCCTTAGATGCCAGTAAATACAATTGTATGAATAGTTTAAACAATAAGTAGGCTTACTGAGGTTAAGATAAATGTTTGTTCCAATAACTTCTGTTGGTACCCAAGAACCAATTCTAATATGTGGGAAACTGCTATGGGACTCTTTTCAAACAAATGTTTTCCCCGTAAATGGGCAGAGAACTACTGTCATCTATAATTCATAAAGTTCACCTTCTTTAGTCATTTTTGCAAGGAATTTTGTGCTGATGGATTAGGCAAATGAATGATTTTCTTTTGATATTGGGGCTTGATTTTTTTTTTGGAATAATCTGACAAATTAAGTTTGGCAGGAAGTAGAATGCAGGTATGTACAACGTGTATTTCCTCCTAAGCCTCTGCAAAAGTTGCTGTTAATTTTTTTTTTTTTTAAGATGATGTAAGCAGGGAAACTAATCAATGGAAAATAATGCAAATTGTATTTATATTTTAGTATGAATTTAAATTAAAGCTAACTTAAATTTTGCCCGAGTCCTGCTTATATTTTGCAATGGGAATGACATCCAAAGGTTCTGGAGTTTTAGAAGGATAAGAGGCAGGTAGTAATTTGTTCTAGATGTTCTGGTTCACTGAGGTTACGTAGTTGTGTGGAAACATGCCCTCCTTCCTGTTGGGGTCAGAATTGTCAAGGACCTAGATAAAATCTCCACAATGGAAACTGAGCTCTCTCTCCTCCCAAGAGTTGAAATCAAAAGAGCTTGTATACGTGTGCCCTGCTGAGGCACTTGCTCAACATCTTGGAGGGATATCTGTTGATTCTTGGAGACAAAGGTTGATCTGTGAGTCTACCAACTCATACAGAGAAATGAACTTTATCACCTAGAGGAAATACTTGCCAGAACCATCTAGAACCATCTTTAGATGCTACACAGAATTTTTGAATTTGATTAAGAGGGAGAAATCTCCAGGAGTATTCCCACTCTCCCTGACAAGGAAAGAACCATGATATCTCCATTTACCCAACATTTCAACTTTTGCTCAAGGCATCTGTCCCAAAAAACCAGAGATGTGGTTCCCTTTCAATATAATTTTAAGGAATGAAGCCATCTTGACCACTGAGTTCAACTATGTATTTGATAGCATTCTTTCTTCAAAACTTTAAGTACATTCTGTCTGAAACTGTCCACAGTTACTTTGAAATTAAACATGGCAACAGCCCCCGTTTGGGATGGCAATGAAGGGGAAAAGGCACTCTCTCCCTGAAGCCTTCTCAGGGGATGCCCAGTTCAGTCTTTCCTCTCATCTGTGCTGCCCTTTCTGCCTGACCTCCATCTCTGCATTTCACATAGGCAAGGAAAACACCGAGAGCCAATTCACTCCCTCAGCATGAGAGCTGTAGAAACAGTCAGGTAGAAGGTCACAGCTCCACTTAGGAGTTTATCTTGATCCTGCACCAAACAAGAGGCTGGATTAGATGACCTTTGAGGTCCCTTCCAGCCATACGATTGTATGAATAGTTTTATGTTTTATTGCATTAAAAAATGCATACGTAGTACCTGGGAAAACAGATGTCCCAGTGTGTGACTTTGTATTAGTACTGCTTCTTACTTTATTATTCTATGAGGTTTTTTTAATCTTAACAAGTAAGCAGCCTAGAGTTACTTCAGCAAGTGTGTGTGTGTGCGTGTGTGTGTGTGAGAGAGAGAGAGAGAGAGAGCGAGCGTGAGCTGTACAGGATATAAAAATATTCTGAAAGGATAGAGTATACACGCCAGCAGTTGGATGTATTTGACTTACCTGCTAATCTTTGCTGAAAAGGCGATACAACAATCTCACAACACATTAAGACAATACGTGGTTTGTAGCACAATGTGTTGCGTGAACCCAGCCAAGAACTCAGTAATCATGGCCCAATGTGTCGCATGAACACCACCAATAAAAAAGAAATCAACAGGCAATAGATTCAAAAGCTTTGCCTTTCACTAGAAAAGGATATTTTTCCATTTTCTTACTTGCTGATAATTTTGATCTGAGAAATTTTACATTAATAATTAAACTGTTCAACTGCTGTTGTGTATATCCAAGAAACCTGGAAGTTATTTGCGTATAGTATCAATGAACTTACAGTACTCTCAGCTTGTAGCTGGTGGTATAAAGATTCTCTCCACTTCCAAGGCACTTGCGCTTCTTCCTTCTCCCCCTGCCCCCAAAAAATTATCATTAAAATTTCATCAGCATTTACCCAATGGTCAGAATAAATTAAAAATAAAAGTAGCTGTAAAAAAGATCTTGTTTGAGAGGAAGCCCATTAGAAGAGAATACTGGACATTCAGCAACCTATTGTATCGGGCTGTGGTAGCAAAGGAGGGACAGGAAAACCGGGCCACTATTAACTCTGCTAGAAAGCTGGTTCATTAAACCTAGCCTCTTTCAGAAGGGTCAACCCACAGCCATCTTAGCAAGTTGCAGTTAGCGGGAAGGACCAAACAGGGTCACACCATCACTTCCCTAAGAAACCAGCAATTTGGGGCTTACCTTCTCTTAGAGCTGTCCCCACTGCAGCAAGAGTGCCTGCCTGCGTTACAGCTGGTTCAGTCCCTACTTTTCTGCATTGAGGTGTCTTTTAATTTATCTTTATTTTCTGACTCAAGCGTAGGGTATCAGTGTAAAATAGCACCCATTTTCTTATAGCTATTTTAAAGGAATAATTGAGGAATCTGGGGGAAAATGTGAGTCTCAACTAATGGAATATAATATGTATCCAGCAGTTTCAAGAGTCCATGGTTTTTGTACATAGGGTTTTAGACATTCATATTCCCAACACATGTTAAATAAATATTGTTGAGTCTGCAGAGATTGGAAAAATGTAGCGGAGAACAGATGAGAACAATGATCTCAAATGATCAGGGGGGACGAAAGGGAGAGATGCTTGGAAAATCAACTGAATTATAACTACCCGCCCAGGGAAGGTCCTCATATCCTCAGGAAATTGATTAACATTTTGTATTGCTACCTCATTAGTTCACCCCTTCAGGTTGGTGCTGTTTTAAAGTAACGTACAATCATTAGATGTCCGGTTCTACCTTTACCATATTGCTGAATTTTCTGCATATCAAACAACTGCTGAGCTGAAAGCAATGGAGGGTTTCTCAGCCTTTGCTTTAGCATTTGCTCATTATTACCAGGATTCAGAGGATGATTTATTTTAAGGAGAAGTCACTAACACCTGAAAATGATTTTTTTTTTAATTCTTTAGGTCAGAAAACAATCTAAACAGGACATTTTTGGAAAAAAAGTACATTTCCTCACAGAAAACATTATTGGTTACATTACACAAATGGCTGCTTCTCAGTATGACTCTCCAGTTGCAAATAACTCAGCTAAACCAATAGAATATTCATTTATCCAGCATAATATGTAGTGCAAATCTATACTGAGTGATTCAAGTTGACAGTGAGGTCTCCTAAAGTTAAAACATGGATATAATACAGTGGAGGAAAAGCATCTCTTTTATAACATATTTGAGCCTGAAGCATCTGTTTATAGGCAGAAACTCCCTGAAAGCCCACAAGTTAAGGAATTTGGAGCACACCCTATTTCTTCCAATTCCCCAATCGGGATCTCATTCTTAGAACTGATTAAGGGAGCTAAATTACAAGGACAATATTTGACTTACAGACTAATAAAGTGTGACTTATTAAAAGGGCCATCTTTTATAAATGGAAATAGCTGCAATGCATAAATTAAAAAAAAACTTTTAAATTGACTTTTAAAAATGTGATGTCTCCATTTCTTTTTATAAAAACAAAAGCTTTCATAGTAAAATTCCTAAAGTGTGGCTTGAAAAGGAATTCTAAAGGCATAAAACTTAGGTTCTATAACTAACAATGGGCAAACTCCTATTCAGCAAAAACCCAAAACAAAACTTTGCTACTTTCAAGCCCAGTTCCAAGATTGTTCTGATGTATCTCTGACATCAGTGCGATATCTTGCTCCCACAATCCTATAGGCAATCCTTTCAAAGTCACCTGCCTCTTCCTGTGTCTCTCTTTCACTACATTTTCTAGCTACTCCAAGAACAGCAGCATGGCAGGAGAAAAAGGTGTCCTCCCTGGTCCTCTAGTTTGCGGCATGTGCTGCAATTGTGTATTTAAAGAAAAGTGTGCTGAAATGCCAGGTTCTCAGTGCCATTCAATGGGTTTTCTATGCTGGGAAAACTACATTTCCCACAATTCCTTGGATCAGTCATGGAGCCAAAAATGCGGGCGGAAGAATTGCAATAAACAGTAACCAGGTTGGAGGAGGCTTGAAATATTATGTGAATGCAGGAAGCTTACATTCCTCTCCTTTTCTGACTGAGATTTTTAATATTTTCCTCTGAGTTAACATTTCAAAACCTACCAGAAAATTGGCTAGTTTTTGGATCCATCACTAACTGGAACTAGTCTCAAGTTCTGTTTCTTATAAACAGAAGTATTATTTTTTAAAAGTCACATTTTCAGCAGATATAGTTGATTATAAAGCAACTCTTTGATACTGCAGTTTATTATTAGCAAGCAGTTCAAGGTACAATTATCTTCTTTTTATTCGCGGATCATACCTGTAAATTGAGAAAAACAGTATGTAAATGCCTGCATTTGAATACCAAAGTAAAATGGAGTTGCTCAGATTACTTAAGAGATTTTTAAGACTTAATTTTTGTTTTAACAAATAGAACCTTAAATTGGCTAAAAAAATCATACAATTATGAAGTAATAAAGTAAAGAGAAACCCTACAAAAATATTAAATAACTTAACATAGCAATTAGGAAATCTAACTACAGTAGAACAAGATACTTATTTAAATCCCTAAATAAGTAATGAAGATCACTGATGACTTCAGTCTTACCATGAATGTATGGCCTAACTAATCTTACAAAGTTGTTCCCAGGTCAAAATAACAACAGGAACATGACAAACTTGTAGGCACCTGAGATCATTAAAAGGAAGATGGGATATAATGGTGGTAAATAAGAGTTGGAAATTTTATCAGTGAGGAACCTAAAACTTCTCCTCAAATATTTGCTTGACCAAAGTGATGAGACCATGCAAGCTTCTCTTGGGAGGGTATTAGATTGGGTGCACTAATACTAAACCATTTTTGTTAAGCAAAGGTATTATTAACACAACAATAAAAATCCTAGAGTATTGGCGAACAAATTGAAAAAAGCTGAGGAAAAAAAAGTGCAATTAAAAATAGCAATGGTCAAATAGTGCCCAAACCAAACGTATAAGTGAACAATTTAATTTTTTTTCAACAATTATATTCTTCGAATAATCCATCACCAATAAAAATTAATCAATTTTTAAATATATTAATATTCCCAGGATTGGCTCCAGAAGAAAAACTATTTATGGAATCTTTTTCTATTTCAGAAATCTCTGACGTTTTCAATACTATTCAAAATGGAAAATCTCCTGGCCTTGATGGATTATCAGGGGAATTTTATAAAGAGTTTAAAGAGATTTTAATGCCTGAATTTTTATTTTTATGCAATACTTTGCACAAGGGGACCTTTACCAGTCTTGAAAACAGTGTAAAATCATTCTGATCCTTAAATCAGGTAAAAATTCCCAGGACTTGGCAACTTATAGACCCATTTCACTTCTCAACATGGACTATAAACTAAACTGCTAGCTAATCAACTAACAGTGATTATAAGTAAAATTATTCATAAGGATCGATCTGGCTTTATTCCAAATCAAAATATATCTACCCCTATCAGAAAATTATTAAATATTATACAATTCAGTAAAATTAATAAATCTTCCCTAGCCATTTGTTCTTTAGATATATTTAAAGCTTTTGATTCTCTGGAAATACAATTTTCAAAACAAATAGTAATTAAATTTAAATTTGGGGCTGGTTTTCGTAAGAACATATTTATGGACCAACTAAAGTCCAGATAAGACTTAACAGTTATAATTTAGATCCCATCACGATTTTAAGAGGTACCAAGCAGGGTTGCCCTTTATCACCTTTACTATTCGACCTAGCCACAGAAGCATTGGCAATAGCACTTAGATCCAATAATTAGATTTGTGGGATGAAAATGGGAGATAAGGCATATCTTTTAAATCTATTTATTTATATGTATTTATTTATAGATCAAATTTGTCACTGCCCATCTAGTTGAAACAACTCTGGGTGGTTTTTTGCAGATGATATGATTTTGACTCTCTCAAATGCTTCTTACACAGCTAGCTATATTAAGAAGGAGTTAGAGGACCACCTTTTCCAGAGGTGTCAGGGCTATCAGTTAATGTGCATAAATCTCATCCAGCGTTTTTTCATATTCCTCCAAAAACTCAAAAGGAAATTTCCACAGTTTTAAGGATTCCAATGTTATATAAATCTTTAAAATATTTGGGTATTACTATTACTAACAATATTAATGAAATCTTTACAAATAATTATATAACAATATGGAAGAAATTAAATAAGGAAATGAAAAATTGGGCTTCAAAACATTTCAATATTTTAATAATTATATAACAATATGGAAGAAATTAAATAAGGAAATGAAAAATTGGGCTTCAAAACATTTCAATATTTTAGGGCGAACTGCAGCAGTAAAGATGAAAATTCTTGTGTGGCTTAACTTCTTATTTCAACACCTCCCAGTGATAATTCCAGAACAGGCTTTAAGACATTGGCAAGAAAAGAAAAGAAAAGAAAAGAAAAGAAAAGAAAAGAAAAGAAAAGAAAAGAAAAGAAAAGAAAAGAA